TCGCAAAAACCATACTGGGGAGGGGTTATTTTTGCTGTGCCACGAGTCTCTGTGCAAATGGAGCAGGAATACTAGTGAAATACTAGTGGGGGTGGGGTCAGGGGCAGTTGTTGTCCCACCCCACCCCCACCCCGGCACCATTCTGAGCCCATTTAGACTCTCTTAGGGAAGCCATTCCATGCAGCTGCTGTGTATATGTAGGAACAAGATAAGACTGAGGTGTTTAAGAGGAAAGAAAAAATTTACGCAAGAAATGTTTGTACAACAATGGTATCCTTTTGTTAATCATGGGAATCAAATGCACGGATTAAATAATGTTCAGCAAAAAATATTACTATGTGCTCACTGGAGGATATGGACTTTACTAGAGTTCCCTTTTCTTCTTTACCATAATAAAGTAAAGGTAAAGGTTCCTTTGCTCGAAAGCCAGTTGAATCCGACTCTAGGGTTGCGTTGCTCATCTCCGTTTCAAAGCCGAAGAGCCAGCGCTGTCCGAAGACGTTTCCATGGTCATGTGGCCGGCGTGACTAAACACCAAGGCGCACGGAACGCTGTTACCTTCCCACCGAAGTGGTACCTATTTATCTACTTGCAATTTCTTGCTTTCGAACTGCTAGGTTGGCAGGAGCTGGGACTAGAGACGGGAACTCACTCCGTCATGCGGCACACTCGGGTCTCGAACTGCTGAACTACCGACCTTCCACAGCCTGCAGTTCAGGATCTTAACCACTCGAGTCACCGCAGCTCCAATATATAATATATGATGACTTTATTTACTTATGTCATTGTACAGTTGTAAATTTATATCTGTTTACAATAAAGAAATTTTAAAAACATCCTTCAACTGTTTGAAATGGTATATATACAAAATGTTCTTTCATTTTTGATCAGAAAAAAATATTTTGTACTCAACGTGTTGTGATTTGCCTTGCTCAGAGACTTCGAGGCCTGGATCCTCTAAGTACAAGGAAACAAAATTGTACTTCCCTGCAGAAGACCAAAAGGCTTGGGGGGGGGGGCAATATCCAGGATGTCTTCATCCCCCTCACTGCTTGCTACAGATAGATGAAGTCTTGGTATAGAACAAAATATATCTGAACCAAGAATAATCTCTCTATGAATGCTAAGACTGCAAACACTCTGCACGTTTATGAAGTGCTTGTCTCTCACTATAAAGAAAGCACACATCTCTACACATACTGAGGCTGAATTTCTAGGCATAATCATAGAGTCACAGACTGTTAGAGTTGGAAGGGACCTTGAAGGTCACCTAGTCCAACCCCCTGCACTCTGCAGGAGCATAGCCGAAAGAACGTCCAGCGAAGGAACACCACCTCCCAAGGCAGTCCGTTCCACTGCTCAACGACTCTTACAGTTAGGAAGTTTCTCCTGATATTTAGCCGGTAACGACTCCCTTGTAATTTCCACCCATTAGATCAAGTCTTGCAATCCGGAGCAAGAGAGAAGAGATCGGCTCCATCTTCTACACGACAGCCCTTCAAATACTTGAAGGCTGCAATCATGTCCCCTCTAAGCCTTCTCTTTCCCAGGCTAAACATACCCAACTCGTTCAGCCTTTCTTCGTAAGACTTGGATTCCAACCCTCTCACCATCCTGGTTGCCCTCTTCTGGACACGCTCAAGCTTATCAATGTCCTTCCTAAAATGTGGAGCCCAAAACTGGACACAGGACTCCAGGTGAGGCCTGACCAGAGCAGAACAGAGCGGAACGACCACCTCCCGTGATCTGGACACAATGCTTCTGTTCATGCACCCTAAGATGGCATTCGCTTTCTTCGCAGCCACATCGCACTGCAGGCTCATGTTTAGCTTGTGATCAACCAGAACACCTAGATCCCTTTCACACGTGCTGCTGTCAAGCCAAGTCCCTCCCATTCTATATCTGTGCCTTTGATTTTTTTGTACCTAAGTGTAGGACTTTGCACTTATCTTTACAGAAGGGTGAGGTTTGCAGGCTGGTGCAATTTTGGAACATCCCAGCACCGATCCATTGTTTTCTCCCTTGCCCCTCCACTTTCAGCAGACCACCCCCCTGAACCTGGCCACGCATCGAGCCTTCAGCCTGTCCTCACTCGTATTTGCAAGAGACCTCCGGGCTGGCAGTCCAAGTTGCTAAGTACAGCCTGGCAAACAGAATATCAATTCTGTGTGATCGTTCAGTTATCACTCAATATCAGGGGTGGCCAAACTGCGGCTCGGGAGCCACCTGCGACTCTTTCACACATGTTGTGCGGCTCCTGGCAGGGCGGCTGGGGAAGCGAAGCGGAGGCATGCCTCCCCAATTGGTCTTCCCTTCCCCAGCCTGTTACCATGGGTGCTCGTGTTTGCATTTCTGTATTGTGTTGATGCTGTGTGTGTGTGTCTCATGTCTGTGTATCTGTGCATTTGGTGACTCGGGGATTACTGCTGTTTGTATAGCTTGCTTTGCATCTCATGCTTGCCTATGGATGGGCAAGACCTGTGCTGCCTGCTACAGAGCATGTGCTTCCCTGGAACTCTCTCCCATGATGCCTCTGGACAAAGGAGACCAGCGCCATTACACCCAACTTGGACCCGTGTAAAACAACAGCGTTCCCCACCATGGCTGATCTGTGGGAAAACACGTAACTCTCTTCCTGCTATCTGTTTTGGCATCATAAAGACAACACCGTTTATGGTTCTCCAGACCAAGCATCTCTGCAAGTCAAAGGTTGCCAATGGAAACGGAGTTTCACACCTCACCACATGGCTGCGCTTTGAAGTTAGGGTAGCATATCTGCATATTGCCCCCTTCCCCTTCATTAGGACGTTACCCCTCTTGGACCTATAGCCATAGTAAAGAGGACGGACCCCAGGGTTTATGGCCTTAAAGCCAAGCCCCAAAACATAGCTTTTAAAAAGAGAAACGCGGCTTTGTTTCTCTGGTTAACCCACCCCTCCCTTACCGTGCACTAAGGTGCTTCAGGTGACTCTCACTAAGTTCCCCGGAGTCGCGACCAGGGAACTCGCACGTGGCTTGGCCGGTCCAGCCTGTGTGTTTTTAGAGCCCACCAGTTGATGCTTTAGCTGCCCTTCTTTCCTAAGAGAAGATTTCTTC